CTTTCTTTCTTTCTTTCTTTCTTTCTTTCTTTCTTTCTTTCTTGTCGGGAGATGCAAACATGGGGTACACACACTATCAAAGTAAACACCAGGCTTTAACAAGACCTCAAATGGTGTTAATTCCTTGACATGTAAAATGTATACACCACTGGAGGAGGAATCATCTCATCAACATCTGGAACATGCCAATTTCTTCTTAATTATCTTTCACCTCCTCCAAACAGAAATTTGGCTTTATTCATTCAACACTAACATTTAATCATCTGAAAATAAATCTGTTTTTTGTTTGTTTTGTTGGCCAGAACCAGCTGATCCTTGGCGTAATGGGAGTTGATGTGTCCTTAGAAGAAATTAAAAAAGTCACCCCTCGCTTTACTGTAAGTTTCCTCTCTTGTCTTTTTGCTGTTTCTGCAGTAGGTTGGATCCTCTTCAAGTTTCTCTTCCAGTCTATCTCGTTCCACTTGACTTCCTGGAAGTCAAGGGAGGGAAAAAAATGATTTCCCCTTTCCCCTATTTTTGGCTTCTTTCTTTAAGCAGTGAACGCAAGAGCTACCCATGTTCTAGTCCCTTGTAGATGACTTGGAGGTGATGGCTCTGTGCCACGGCTTTCAAAAACTGAGGACACAAAAGGAGTTATTAACCTGATTGTCCCCTCCGCTTCCTTTGTAGCCGATGCTTTTGAACATTATATCAACCATAAACAATCTCCTCTTTGGGACTGAGTGGCCTTCCCTTTACATAATACGTCATGTTTATATCAATGGGGGATCACTGTTGTTGTTTTTTTTCTCGTAGGAATCAGGTTGGAACAAAATGAAACAGCTTAATTTCCAGGATTATTTCATCATCGGGTTTTTTTTTCTGGAGCTATTATGAATGATATTAAAATGTGCTGAAATATTTTGCAGCCAGAATTTTTTTAGTTCCTCGTTGAACCATCTCCAGATAGGCTGAAGATAATAGACCTTGTCATTTGCAAAAAGTTGCATCAATTCAATTCACGTTAGCATTGAAGAGAAGTTTCAATTCCATAGTCAGTATGGGCAGTCCTCAACATACGACCATGGGCGGGGGGCAATGTTTCTGTGACAAAGCGAGAACAGTGGTTCAGTGAATTTTGCCTCATTTTTACAACTTTTTTGTGATGACCCAGGATGGGATACAAAATAAACACAGTCACAAAAAACAGGTGAAGCCCCTTTTATTCCTTCACTTTACTTCCAAGCTCCAACTATTCTTGACTGGAGACAAAAAACTTGCACACGAGCAGTTACCAGAAGGAGGAAATGCCGTTTAAATTATAAAGAGTAAAGGACAACACAAACCAGGCAAGATAAGGGCTGGAAGACATCCACAGATATCAGAACACATACTAGTAAGGACGCCAAACTCAGAGAGATACAATAAACTAGAGATATTTTCACGCTTTGTTTCCAGCACTCGCCCATACGCATGTCCATCCTCTTATTCAGTTGCTGCAGCCCATGAAGAGGATCAAGGCCCTCTCCTCCCGAGTAGACCACGTCTCTCCCTTATCTTCTCCCTGCATGCCCTAGGATGGAGAGGGGATGGGCCTGGGTCCTCCTCTGACTGCCCGCTGGCCTCTGCCCTTCCCCAGCCTCTTCCACAACCTCCAGAGCCACACTTCCACTCCCTGTTGGCTGTTCCTCCTCTCCTTCACAGTCAGGGGCATGGCACTTTTCTTGCCATAGCTGTTAAATGAAACACTGTAGTTATTTAAGTTAGCAACATGGTTGTTAAGTGAATCTGGCTTCCCTGTTGACTTTGCTCAGCAGAAGGTTGCAATTGACAAACTAAATAAAATAAAAAATAAATAAATGGGATCATGTAGCTCCAGGACATTGCAACTGTCATAAATGTGGGTCAGTTGCCAAGGATCTGAATTTGGACCGCATGAATCTGGGGAATGCTGCAATGTTGTATGTGTGAAAAATGGTCATAAGTCTCTTTTTCTAGTGCCGTTTTAGCCTGGAATGGTCACTAAGCAAAAAACTGTTGTAAGTGGAGAACTACCTGCATGGTTACAATGTCCAGCTTTTCTGAGATGCAATTATTACATTTCTTTTCCTTTAACAGCTGTGTCCCAACGGTTATTATTTTGCCATTGATCCCAATGGCTATGTGCTGCTTCACCCAAATCTTCAACCAAAGGTATGGGATATCTTCTGGTTGCCATTTATTTCAATTTTCCATTGTTTTGCAAAAGGCATTTGAAAAGATCGTTAATTCTCCGAAGATTTTCAGTTTTCCCTGGTAACTTTGGTGCATGTTCAGAAGGTCTTTTGCTTTTATTTTATACTCTAAAGCAGGGGTCCCCAACCACCGGGCCCCGGACCGGTATCGGTCCGTGGAACATTTTCTACCGGGCTGCCGGTTTGCTGGGCGCCGCCATCTTGTTTTGATGAGAAAGTGCTTCCGGTGAGCTTTTCCGGTTCCAAAGCGGCGTTTGGGTCCTGAAGGAATCCTCGCGCCTTAGTCTCATCGAATGGGGGGCGGCTTCGAACAAAACTAAGGCGCGAGGATTCTTTCAGCACCCAAGGCAAGGTGAGCCGAGCGACTGTCCTGAAGCCGTCCCGAAGCCCATCGACAAAGGTACAAAGGAGGAGTTGAAGGTGGCAGGGAGAAGCAAGGGACGGCTGGCTGGCCGGTCGCTCGGCTCGCTTTGCCATGCGTGCTGATGCCGGTACCGGGCCGTGGATCATTTTGTGATCCGGTACCGGGCCATGGTACAAAAAAGGTTGGGGGCCACTGCTCTAAAGCTCCAAGGCCCATCTTTCTGTTGGATAAAATGGACCAAAGCGGAAGGTAAAAACCCTACTAAGAACTTCCATGCTCGAAGTAGCTGAAATCACAATAGGACATCGCTTTGATTTCAAGATCTAAAGAAAGACTGTTTTGAATTTCTTCAGTTTGTTGTCCAGTTTCTTTGGTTTATGGCCCAATACCTTATTTTTCTTAAATTCTTATTTGTGTACATGCTGAAACTGAATCTTGAAATGTGTATGTCCATTTGCTTGTCCAAAAACTGAACATAGTTTTTGACACCTCCTCTTTTGCTCTTCGAGTTTAACACACGTACAGTTGTTATGTAGACCAGCTTACATCTTTAGTAAACTCTAACTGTGCCTTATTTATATTTACACATACACACAGGCTCTGCTTTTTACATTTTTAAAAAATGTGTTTGAGGAGTTTTTAAACTCAAAGCATGTACAATACAATGAGCTTTTTATTTATAGCTTTGTGGATAGCTTTTATTCCCCTAACAACAAATTATCACTGTTCCTGAAACCCCGACAAGCCTTTTGAAACATGACCTATTTTTTTTCCCCTGCCTAAAAATTCACAGCAAAACACAGTTCTGCAACTGGTTTGTTTGACTTACAAGCAAATTATATCAACTTCTATTCATTTTATTTTTTTAAAAAAAAAAACTCATTCAATTTAATAGTGCTTACTTCCAAATCATTGTGGTAATTTTGCGGTCCTTTTTCTCCTGAAACTATTATTAGAATATAAAAACTCTAACTCTAAAAGTTCTGGGGAAAAAAAATCCTTTTATTCAACTGAATGATCTGGTTTGTGGGTTGGGCTATTAAAGTATAATTATGTAGTATTGAAATATGGCTACAATTACTTGAGCTGGTATAGTAGACCGTGTTGTAAAGCAGACATCCTTTTGCTTAGATGTTTATTATTTATTTAATTGGATGTCTTAAATTTGATTTCATCATGCAGAACAGGAGACTCCTGTCCACAATCAACTCGGATCTTTTAAAACAGGGAATTATTTGTAAAATAAGTTCTTGTGGAGGACCAGGGAGACTTTCAAAATAAGGTTGGACGTGGCCCATGGCTTTACCAACAGAATTGGGGTGGTGAAATGTAACACCCCCGTGGTTATGTTGGTTTCAATGGCACCTCCACTTGTAGCAAAGAACCCAGTGGAAATGCTTGCAGGGAATGAAACAATGCGTAGATGCCAAGCAGAACCAATATTTACAAATTACTATGAAACTGAAGGAAAGTATTATTTGGTAACCCAGCGAGTGATTCCTGCTAGTTGGTAATTCAGTAGGGAAATAACCTGATCCCAGCTCCTTTCTTTCTCTTGAGTAGCCAGTCATTTTAATGTTGAAAATTGGGATTCGGTTCTGAGTTGCTGGATCGAAGAGGCAGGTTGTGCGCAAAGAGAGGAAGCGCACAATCACACTTGCAAGTCTCCATCTTGTTAGGGTTGTAGGTGTCAGGGTTCCAAGTAATGAATCCATACATTGGTGGGATTCAAATTGTTTTACCACTGGTTTGGTGGACATGGCTTGGTGGGCGTGGTGGCTTGGTGGCTTGTGGGCCTGCACATAGCTCTCCCCATACCAGCTGAGACCTGCAGCGCCAATCAGCTGAGAGGATAAAAAAGAGAAAAGCGCAGGTGTGGGTGGAAGGGCCGATCCTTCACTTCTCTCTTCTTTTTCCTCTCAGCTGATTGTTTTTTTCCTATTCTCAGCTGATCATCAGAAGCTTTTTTTTACTACTGGTTCAGCTAAACCAGTCTGAACCGGTAGCATACCACCACTGAATCCATAGCAACCAAAACTCCAAGGCATGTAGATTCCTCAAATAATACTTTTATTGGAATTATCATATTGGCACATATCTGGTGAAAACCAAGTCTAAAGATTCTCGTGTTTTTCACCTCATTGAAAGCAAAAGTTTGTCTTTCTCAAAACAATCAGTGACATGGTCCAATCCTGATGCTGTCTGGTTGTTTGGTGACATCACTCCACCTTCCTCCAACCAGGTGCGAGAATGTCCTTGGTTCCCAAGAGAAAGTATTTTGTTTTGGCTACAAAATCCCAGCTCTCTAAAAAATCTGCCTCCCTATTCCTCAGCTTGAGTATGACAACACTGAAGCTTCCAAGATGGCTTCAGTTAGGTCAACTTCAGCATTGATGGGAGGTGTGTTGTAATGCTTGTTCTTCACATCCTAGTTGAGATACTTAGCTTCCAGTCCATCACACATAAAGCTATGGGTTACAGGGATAGGGGTTTATTCACAAGGAGTTGTCTCCCTCCACAGTCTATTAGTGAAGCACCTCACCTAAGTTAATGTGATCTGTGCCATTTTTAAATCATCTATCTGTCCTCGTTGCTCAGATAGCAAAATATTCTCTCTCTATTGAGTACCTTCAGTTGGAATCAAAGATGTCATGTCGAAGTTTGGTCTCAGAGATCTAGGACAACTCAACAACTCATTGTGGGACAAGAGTTACACTAAAATAGAAGAAACAGTAGAATAGAATCATTCAAGAAAGGATGCCGAAGGAGGGACAAAATGAAATGTAAATGACAAAAATTAAAATCTTTTTTGAATTCTTTTAAATAATTCAACTGAATGGTTGAATTGTTCCCTCAGTGAGTTGTTCCGTGCCGAGCTGGCCATGGCAAGTTGTCCGATGGTGAGCTAGCTGTGGTGAGGTGGCCATGGCAAGTTAACCATGGCGAATTGGCTGTGGCAAGTTGATGATGGCAAACTGGTAATGGCAAGTTGTCCCATTATGGATCTGATTGCCAAATTGCTCAGAATTTTAGATTAGAAGAATGAGGGTTGTTAGTAGAAATTAGAATGAGAATGAGTAGAATGAGGGTTGTTAGTAGAAATTGACTGCCATGTGGAAACGCCATATGAATAGATGCTGTTCTGTTGCTTTAGCACATTGGTGTGGGCATCCCCAAAGTTAAACAGAGGAGACCCTATGTCCAGGTAACTACGAATGGAAGTGACTAATGGTGTGGTCGAAGCTATTTTAGCTGCCTGGGAGAAATCTAAAGTAGGCTGTTCAACCAGCAGTTTTTCTCTAACGCATGAAGCTCGCAAAATTAAGTATCAATGCCTCTAGGAGATGTTCCTTCAAGTGAAAGCTTTTGTTTGTTCAGTTGAATTCGTGCTTTATCCTTTGCAGAAAAGCCTCAAAATGCAGCAGATTAATTATTGTGAAGTTGATATAACACTTGAGGAAGTATGCAAGGTTTTACGTTTGAAACTGACCACTGATAGAATTCTAAAGTAGATACTACAAGACTTTCAAATGCATCCTTGTGACTTTTTTTGACCATGTCTGCAGCTGTGATGACTCGGGGCATGGCGCAAAGGCAACATAGTCAGATAAGCAATAAGAGTCCCTTTAATATCTCCACCTTTGCCCCCAATGTCCAGGTTACCTTCTGACTGGAGAAAAACTCTCACAGGAACAGTCTTTAACTGCAGAAAATTAAATCCAAAACATGGTCAACACAAACTGTAACTTAAAGTCCAAACAAGCCAAACTGAAGTAATTAGTTTGGCAGGGCAGGAGCAAGAATTTCAGACTTGAAGGCACAGCAAAACTCACATAGTTGCGAAGATGCCAGGAGCACAGATAAGTCATGACAACACAGGATAAAGTCACCTTTGCTTCCAGCAGCTGCTGCACGCAGCCTGCCTTTCTTATTAACTGTTTTCCCAGTTGTGGCTAATGAAGGGAATCAGGGCCCTTTCCTCCCCCGTAAGCCACGCAAGCCACGTTGCTCCCTTTTCCATTCTTCCCTGTGTGTCCTAGGATGAAGAGAGGGTGGGCCTGGGTCTTCCTCTGAACTCCCTCTCCCTTGTTCTACCTCTGTCCTACTCTGCCCAGCCAGACTTTGCCCTTCCCCAGCCTCCTCCACAGCCAATGGAGCCACACTCCCACCCCCTGTCATCTGTCCAGCTTCCTCCTCGGATTCAGACTCTGACAGGGGCATGACAGCAGCCGACTGAAATCTGTGAGGCTTAATTAAGTATTGACTAACTTAAACCCCATTAATTTCAGCAGAATTACTCTTCTAAGCATGGTTAGCTGTTGAAATCTGTATTGCGACTGCCTTATAATTTTCTCTGGGGATTTTGTCTTATACAAATGGTCCTTGACTTATGACCACAAATGAGCCCCAAACATCTGTTTGTTAAGTGAGACATTTGTTAATGTGGATTTTATCCCATTGTACGATCTTTCTTGCCTCGGTCGTTAAGTGAAACTGCAGATGAAGTGAATCTGGCTTCCCCATTGATTTCACTTATCAGAAGGTGATCACATCATTTTTGGGATGGTCATAAATATGGGCCAGTTGCCAAACATCTGAATTTTGATCACATGGTGGTCTGGACAGATCGTAACTGTGAAAAATGGTCATAAGTCACCTTTTTTCAGTGCCACTGTAAATTGGAACAGTCACTAAACAAACTAATGTAAGTCAAGGATTATCTGTATACATAACACCTGCCTTGTTTCTGATATCTGCATGTATGTCAACATTTTATTATTTATTGTTTGCATTTGGGGAATGCTTGACACGAAAGGTTATGATTTGCAAATGTTACATTGCCGATTTTTAAAAACATGTCATTGCTATTCCCCTCCCCTCCAGTTCTGTTGATCTGAGTTGATTCATTTCACTGCCAAATTTAATAGTCCCTTGTTTCGATGAGTACAATTTTAGCAACTGTAATGTCACAGCAGGAGGTTCAAGTAATCTGCATTGATTAAAATTTCTCTACTTCATTCAGTTTAAATATTCTCATATCTAAGATATGATATATCTCATATAATAACTTAAATGCTTTCTGTAAAAAGTATCAACCAACTGAAGACAAGATCAATCTAATAAAATAGATTATATATTTGGTTCCTGAAGAATATCAGTAGCATTTTTCCACCCCAGCATGCTGGGGTTGTAGTGAAACTACATGCAGATGAATCTTTTTAATAAAGATGTTCAGAATTGAACCAATTTTTAACCTACAAAGTTCCTTTTCTTTAACGGAAGAAAAACAGTTCTATTCTTTTTTTAATTCTTCCTTTTTGTCCATCCTGCCCCCCTTTTATTTCAAAATTGAGTTTGTTTCCACCTTTGCATAACGAGGTCTTTGATTTCTGATGCTCCTGTTTGGAAAGGAGATATCATTATTATTATTTTCTTCTAATATATATGTGTTATCACTGTGAAGTTATGTCTGTTTCTTTGCTTGTATTTTCTGGATATAAAATGTTTTGAATTTTATGTAGAGCAAGAAAGGAGTCTCCAGATATTTCCTCATCATGAAACCAAGCAAATTAATTCCTGTTTCCCCAGTTGTCTCCCTCTTTTTGAATAAATTAATGATGCTTTTTAACTGAGCCTATTTCATAGTGTCTATGTGGACATATAGTTTCCTTGGTTGGTGGAAGTGATGCCTCCATTGGGATTTTAGGATTTTTTTATTTAAGTATTTAACCTGATTTAAAGCCTTGAAATTCTTTGACAATCTTTCTTTGAAACAGTAAGCAGTCTGACTCTGCTTAGCTTCTGAACCCAGAGAAGTTTTCCCATATATTATCAACCCTGAAATTCATTTTCTCTTTTCTTTCTCCTTCCTTCCTTCCTTCCTTCCTTCCTTCCTTCCTTCCTTCCTTCCTTCCTTCCTTCCTTCCTTCCTTC